GCAGACAGGCACAGGCCAACGTGGAGAAAAGGTTTTTAATACATTCCCAAAGAATAACTACTGGTGGACAAAAGAGCGTTTGTATTTTTATTCTTTCCTTTTCCTGCTTCCAGGAAACTTTAAATAGATTGATTAGGGGCATGTATGGGATCTCTCTCTAATGAGCTAGTAGAGCCATTTAATGGTGAGGTGATGCCAGCCTTGGATTCTTTCTTTATTCTTGTGTCTCACTGAATATCAGAGTAGTCATGGTCTTGAGCGTGGGACAGGAATTGAGAGGAACACAGTTTTCCACTTGCTCATCCAGAGGGTTCTGGATGGGATCACTGCTCAGTGAAGCACCAGGCGCAGAGCTGAGCTGTCTAAGTAAGTTTGCCCATCCCTCTCAGGAGGCAAACCAGCAAGGGTGGCTGCTGGCTACAGTGCAAATATTCCCAGCCAAGCATTAGCTATAGGATTTGCTTCAGTAATTACCTTTACTTTAGTCTTATGACCCAACATGAGGCAAAATTACTCTTGGCCAAATTACAAGTTGCTGAGAGGTCTAGGGCATTCAGGCATGTGTCCTCTACCTGTTGGAGTGCGTTACAAGCAGGTGGGCAGTTTTTGTTCTCTTTTACATATTTTCTAGAGAACTCAAAGGACTGGAGTTAACAACAGATGCAGGAATAGGAATGGGTTCCGTATTCTTTAATACTAAGCAAAGACATCCCTGCCACTGGGACCAGCAGCGAGTGCTATGCATGCTGGAGATAGCACATGATTGAAGGACATGTTCCCTCTTTTCTGATCCTCGGGGCAAAATCCTCTCTTCTTTTATACACAGGCAAAATTCAGACCACCATCCATATATCTCGGCCTCCGATAATTAGGGAACCCAAATATTTGGCTCATGGTAACAATTTTATGTCTTCTAACAAGGGGAACAGCGTTCCCCTAGGTCCCACTCTCTTTGAGCCGTGCTGCTATGACAGTAATGCGATTGTCACTGCCATGGTATGCTTAACCTTTGCCAAACCAGAGCTGAGGCATTAACTCAGATCCTCAACTCACATGTCTTAAAGGGCAACATAACCTGTGCTGCCTCCGCACCGCCAGACCGACAGTTTGCAGCTCAGTAATAATAAGCATGTAAATGTGACAAGCGTAAGCCGTAACAATGATTGATGCAAATAGAAGAATAACAAAGAGAAGCTGAAAAATAGTGATGCGGTGGAATTTCTAGGGCTGGTGTCTCCATGGCACCAGCAGCCCAATACCCTGACACCAGAAGAAAGGCTACACTTGTCTGTGGTAGAAAGGATCTCCGTGCCACGCAACGAAATTCCAGCAAACAGGACAAGGACTGATGGTGTCTGGAAGTGGTAGTGCCACTGCTACCCGGATAATAGTCTGAATTAGATTATGTGAAAAAAGAAGGAATATATAGACAGCCAGCTGCTCAAAGGCTTACTACAACCTTGCTTTTATTGTTCTGCTAAGTTAGAGGTGGGGCATCAGAGGGATTCCTAACATACCACTACTGAGAAATTTTAATATGTTCCACACTGACACATATAAAAAGGAAATAACAGCTGATCATAGTCAGTGGAGACTGCAGCATCTCTTCATACGCATGCACAGAAGCATGGGCAAAGTGGGGTGCTCTTGGCCAAGGAGACTCAGGCACCCGAGCTACCCTGACCCAGCTAAACCTTTCTGCTGCCATTGAGCTGAGTTTCAGCAAAAGGACTGTCAAGCAGGAAGCAAGACAGCAGAAAATAGGTGATCTGGGCATGGCTACTCACCCCATCCCAAGATACCAGGACGTGGAGAAGGGCAGGGGAGCTGAGAGGCTGCACATTTAACACTGATGAAAAGAAACACATGTTTACACAACCGACAATGATCCGGTGGAACAAGATATCACAGAGGGCAAAAGTTTAGCTGGGCTCAGCAAAAGGACTTGTTATGTATGGGAGGGTTACAGTTGTGAGGGTTTTATTTTTAAAGAGTTTTTGGAAGGGTTATAAACTCTCAGGACTCAGAGTTCAGTTGATGGGGTTAGGGAAAAATCCTTTGCCACAGCAAGTTACCCCGTAGCTGCCTGCCACGGGGTCTCTATGTCTTTCTTTGATGTGACCGCTTCCAGCCATGCTCAAGAGGTGGATTACTCAAATAACATGGGACTGTGGCATGGTCTCATGTAGCAAAACTTTTCTAAAACTCATGGAGACAAGCCTCTCCTCATACTCAGCAGGACATGAGAGGCAGAGGAATTTGTAGTATTTGTAATACAACTATCTAATATTTATAATTGTAATTACAATTATAGTATTTGGGGGGAGAAAAAAAAAAAAAAGGACTTTTTTCTTTTTCTTCTTTCAGTTAAACAAATAATCCAGACTTGTTACAAAAACCAGATGTCTCAGTGGCTTCATGCAAGCTTTGCACCATAGATAGTCAACTGCCTTCAAGGTCCAAGAACAACCCTGAGCGCTTCCTAGCGCATCTGAGAGCAGACAAGCCAGGAAGGGGACAGTCAGCCCCAGGGCAAATGGGGAATGAAGCCAACTCCAGGAGGACTCCCTGTCAAATGAGTCACTGCAGGCGTCAATGCCAGTCCCCAAGTTGGTGGCTTGCTTCCCTCCCACCTGGGCAAAAGAGATTGCAATCCTGGCCACTCAAGCAAGCAAGAACATATAGATGCTATCACAAGCCTTGATAGCACGTGAGGGATTGTTTCAGTGGGGCAGATGGCTTTTGCGGAGATCAGCCATGCGTAGGTAGCTACCTGGGGTGTTGCTGCTGCAAACTGGACAGAAGACTGTCTGTAACAAGTATCTTGCTCTGCAAGGGGGAATCATCAGCGTACGTGCATCTGACCAAAACCAGGCGCTGCGCAAAGCCAGGAAACCTATGTGGGATACCTTCAGGTAGAGATCTGAGCTTGTAACTAGAGTAATCAGCAGCAGCCCCTAATTATACCCCTCCACTAAATCAAACAGCATTTTATTTTGTAAGCTTGAAACATCTTTTTGTTCCACATTTGCTTTTAACTGGAAAAATCTTAAAGCATCTTCTTATAATACCCGTATTGCAAATACGATTTCATTATTCCAGCAAGAGCATGCCAATGTATATATGTCACATTAGGAACCCTGATTCAAGCTGGTAAGTAATTACTCACCAAATAGTTCTATTTAGGTGGACGGAATTATTCATATGTATAACTGCTCACAGATATGAGTAAGGTCCCACAGCCCGAGCAAAAGTGACCACTGTTAGTAATTCAAAAGAAAAAAAAATAGAGGTTCTAAAATGTAGATGTTCTTTTGAGGAGGGACAAATAACAAGGCTGTGATTATTACATCCACATTTATTGACACCACCAGGCAGCTGGGTTGCTTCTATTAGAAAATAACTTTGCAATAAGGAACTGATTTGAAGTGACTTTGTCCCCACTGTTGGTTTTAAATAATCATTTGGCTGTCCTTTTCCAATATGCAGAGTTCTCACCCCTCAGCCACTGGGACAGTTACAAAGCTTTAGGGACTGTGAGTAACATTTAGCATATAAGAAACATTTTTTCATCTTTAAAGAGCTGCAGAAACCTTAACAAGTTCCTTGTCATGCCATCTCTCCCAGACAGAAACAAGTAAGGTGTGTTATGGGGGAGGCTATGGGAGAAATTTAAATGAACTTAAGGAGTAGGATAAGAAATCTGCCTGACAGTCCCACAAGAGTCAGTTCACACACGCCGTCTCGCAAATTCAGATTTGCCACAAGAAAATTACCCCCGCAACACACACTCCATGGGAGCCTGCTTTACTGACACTACAGTGGCTAGCAAACGTAGTACTGACATTGCTCTTCACATGGTTCACCTTTTTACCCTGTTTTTGCTGCTGGACCCATTCATTTGAAGTTTTATAGGATGAATTCACTCACCTGAATCCTAGCAGGGAGACGGGGCTTTCTTCCTCAGCTGGGCTCACTCGGGGCAGTGTCCGTTCCCGTGCCTCGCAGTCACACTACACTGACACTTTATCACCGGGCTCATAACAGTGAAACTCTTCTTTTGTCCCAAAGACACAGAGAACGGTCATGCTCGTGCCTCTGACGCTGACACACAGCGAAATGATCTGCCAGCAAACGAGGAGAGCCTCCCTCTCTCCTTCGGCAGGCAGTCTGGGGTCCTGCAGCATCCTCCCGTGTCAGCTACTGACTGCACAGCCACGCTGCATTACGTGTTGCGCTGACGGGGTCAGCTACCTACTAAATATACCCCTCGGCGTTACAGCAAAGGCAAACATTGTGGCTTTTCTCACAGGTTTCAGCCAATCGAGAGTGTATATTAAATCTGTCCTAATCCATAACCAGTGCTGTCCAGTCCATAGGAAAGCTTCCCAGAAGTTTGGATAAATAATAATGTGCAAATTAAGAGTGCTCCTGCGAAGCATGACACACAAAGCTAGAAATAAATATTGCCTGTTGTTTCAAATTATTCTGAGCACTCCGGCAGATGACTGGCAAGAGAACAGCATGCATAAGTAGTGATAAAAGTAAACAGTCCATCTTTAAACTAGCAGGCTTGCCTGTGCTCATAGAGCCCTATTGTAATGGGACAAAGAGGGTGCTGGCGATACCGGCGCTCTCTCGACGAATTCGGGGCAGAGTCCAGCACGTCCATTCACTCCAAAGCCATACAGCTAGGACAAATGCAGAGCTGCATGAGCTCGGCATGCCCACAAGAATAGATGTTTAACCAAGTTGCTCAGAAGTACACTGGGCTACCTGTTTGACTGCGTACAGGCATCCTTCAGACAGGACATATAGTTAAAGATCCAAGGATAAGAAGGAGACACAGGTACTAGAACTGTTTCAATTCCACATGAACACATTTCAATTTAAAAAATGGTACAAGGAGAAGATGTGTTTGCCAGATAAAGAGATTAAGCACTCAGTTTAAGTCCATGTAATACTCAAAATCTGGAGGAATCTCTTATTTGTGTGCTTACCTTTGGAAAACGCACGGCTCCTTCCTTCCCTCAAACTCTTCAGAGAGCTAAAAAGAGGTCCTGTTACTTCCAAATGCTTTTGTTCTTCTGTCCCTCTGTCACATGGCTTGCCTTTTATATTTGCAACACACAAAAGTTAGGGCTGTTGTTTAAGAGAGAGAGGGAGAGGGGGGGAGAGAGAGAGAGAGAGAGGGAATGTCAAATGGAAAAGTGCCATTGCAGTCATATATCAATCAGGGCAGCGGCAGCAGCAGCTCACTGGCAAATGGGAATTCCACAGAAATGTGAAGCTCTTGTTATCTGAGAAATCACAAAACACCACCAGCCAAGCTCCTCTCTGCAGGGACTTATTATTATTGGCAAGCCAGGAAATAGAAGGAAATGTAGGCTCTTTTTTTGTTGTTGTTATTGTTTCGGATCTGGAGATATGTACACTGTGGCATATGTAAGCCAGTGGAATACAAATCCTGAATCAGATGCCTTCCTAAACAAATGCACTGTGTGCAAGATAAAGCAAACCACTGAGAAGCAAGGTAACAGACCTAAATGAGGAATCTGAAAGTAATGATTTTAAAAATTTGATATCGGTTTGCACTTGGAAAATATCCATATAAAAACTACCTTTTCCCTGGATTACTCATTAATCTCCTTCTTTCTGACAGGTTTTTCTTAGAATTTTTTTTAGCTGTGATTATCTCAGATATCCTTAATTCAAGCTGCGCTGCTTCACTACAATTGGTCACCTAAATCATCTGACATTCCCTGGCTCTCCAGTTGGGTAACAGACAAGCATTTTCTGTATAAATACTTGTCTGCAAATCTGCAATTTTGATGCTTCAGATAACCTGCCCCAAAATTCTGAAGTTTCTCTCGAATAAACTCAGAAGTTTGCTCACAGAAGCAAACATTGTGTTTCTGCTTTACCCACCTTCCTCTGAAGAATGCCAAGTTTGAAAACAGTCATCCTTCAAACCTTTTATATAAATATTGTGGGTTTATGCAAAAAAATTCATTCCCTGAGAGGCTGAAGGCAGACTCATTCCACTGGAAAACCCCACTTAGAACGGACCAACCCTTCCTTCCTGCTTCCACAGAGGAGCGCATTTCACTTCCCTTTGGAGTGCCCCCTAGTTGTCCTGCGGCATTACGGGAAGCACAGACCTTAGCTGGTTAATTAAAAAATAGGCGACATAGCTGGCCATTCACAAGCTGGATCTGTTCAGAGGCACTGGCCAGCAGATGGACGGGGTCCTGTGTCAATTGTGTTTGAACTCTAAAGGAAAGTTGGTATTTGATGGATGAAGTTATTAGCTAAATGTCTTATGTGGTATAAGATCAAAGAACAGATGGAAATTATGCCTTAAAAATAGAATAATCTAAAAGGGGAATGGCTTGTAGATGAGTAAGCATCATGGAAACAATAAAGGAGACATTCTTTGGCTTGCTTTGCTGTAGAGCCAGGTTTGGCTGGTGGGATAAACAAATGATCCATTTAGGACCGAGATTCTCAGGATGTGAGTTTTGCTGCACATTTTTTCTCTCATACTCAGTGTTTACATTGTTTTGCCTTTTAAGTCAACCCTGGGTTTCTCTCACCAACCGTATGCATATCAGCTCTCTGCCTCCCTCGCAGATGCCGCCGCGGTCACCCAGGATGGATGACGGCAGAGCTCACCAGCATCTTTGCTTCACTGCAGCTGCAGGATGAAATGTCACCGATGCTCTGTGCACACACTTACCTTAAACAGACAGACTACACATAGCAATCTTTTTTAATTTAGCCAACACCCTCTTTTAAAATCAAGCCTACTGGCCCTTTGGTCATTATGCTGCTGGGTTGTGTCTCTTTTTCCATGGGTGAGAAAGTGGCTCACATAATCCAGCTGCTTGCATTAAGGACCTGCCATGTGCAAGACAAAAGCCTGGCTAAGTAGTTCCTGGATGAAATCCTCCAGGAGACAGTAGATACCCTACTCACAGTCCTTACTGAAAATAATGCTGAAGTTTTTTACTGGTCCAGCTCAGGTTTCTTATCTTTGCATCATCTACAGGTAACAATATCTGTATTAATTGTTTGTTGGGTGCTAAGCATACTTTAAATACTCAACAATTATCAATAATACCTCAAACAGTAGTATTTTTGAGAAGTAGTGCTCAGCAGTTTGCTACCACAGCTACAAATTCCTAATACAGGAAGACCTGCAGATATTGGACTAAAAATTTTTCAAAAAATTAAAAGCGGCTTTCAATTTTTTATCTTCAGCTTCAAGACCGTGTTTGGCAGTAAGTGGAAGTTAATGGGCAGTTAATCGACCTCACAGGCTGGTGACTTATAAACCAATGGTCTCATTTGTGCTGTCTGAATGAACTTACACATGATCACAAGCATGAAAGTGGAAGCATCAAAGGTAGCCTTCCCCCTCCTCAAGAACACTATGGGCCATAACTTTGTCATAGCTGTTCATAAATCTTCAGCCTCTCTCAACCACTGTGACTTAATCCCACCCATAAAACCAGTCATTTTAAAGAAACAAATAAAAGCGGAACGCACAGGAGCTCAGAGCCCGGTTTTCAAAGATGATTAGACATTTGAGATGACCCCAGATATTAGATAAGATTTCCAGAAGATCTAAGTTATCCTGCTCCCATCAGTTCTGATCTGAGTTCCCTTCAGAGGAAGTTTATCTCACTTAACAGTAGTTGCCTGAAAACTAAGTTTAGCGTCTCCCAACAGCACATGGAGAGTTTCCATCCCAAATTACTTTCAGTTCAGGCCAGTTTCAGGACAGCATCAATAACAGTTTTTCTCTCTGTGAATAACCAAAGATATTCTGCTGACTCAGTTGGACTAAGTATCTTTTTTTTTAAATAGATAAAACTAGGTGAGATAAACCCCTTCCTCAAGGACTCAGGCTGTAATTCTGAAGAGATGGAGATCCACCTCTGCATGGAGTTCTACCAGCCTCCCCAGTTCCACCCCCTTGAAATGCACTGCAGATCTGCAACCCTAATTTGCAGGCTTCCTTATTCCACCACTGCATGACCTACAAGACTCATGTTTGTGCTCAGAAAAGCATTGTACTACCATTACTTGCAATTCGGTGGGACCAAATCGTTTGCCCCATTGGCATCATCAAGCACCATGTTGCTTCCTCAAAGGAGCAGGGTCTCACCTCTCTATCATGCACATGTTGTGAAATGCATTCAGACTTCTGCAGCAAAATCAATCTTTCATTTTTATCTGAAGGATTTTCCAGTGCTGCCATTTTGTAGTCTTCCCCAGGCAATTTTTTAATTCTGAGACAGTGGATAACAGACCTCCATATCATTGAATGTACTATCAGAACAGACACTACTTGGTATCTGTGCTGGTTGTGCCTGCGAAGACAATGAATGGAGTACACATGGAAGAACAATTTTTAAGTATAGGTATATACTCATGCACAGACATAAACACACCCATTATTGCTGCAAGCAGTTAAAGGGAGTATGATGTATAGGAATGCGGTTCGGGGAAGGACAATGCTTTGTTCCACTACTGAACTGATAAAGGGTGGTTCATATTTGAGGCTTGGCTATCGGTATTTTTTCATAGTTGGGAATGTAGGAGGAACAGAAAGTATTGTAATGATAGTCTACAGTAAGAAGCAACCCAATACTTACATAAGGAATATATACTTTGTGCAGATAAGAGGTATCCAGAATTCTTAGAAGTATTTCCTATCATTTTAATAATCAAAATAAGTATTAGGTAAATAATATTCCCAATAAATAAAGTTACACACCCACATACATCAGTGTAGGAGCAGGTGGCACAAAAGTCTGTTTAGGCACTCGATATTTTTCATTTCTTCTTTCTCCCCATTGTGCATTATCTCAGATTCATTTTGCAAGGATATTTAAATACCTAAACACATATATTCTTCTGTAATCTAAATGGGCCTTTTCTTTCAATGTTTATATGTATCCACAAATGTTTGTTGTTAAGGCACAGTATATGGAAATGTCTATTCAGTGCCTTATACATATGCCATTATTACAGCAAGGCTCCCTTCATCTAGGGAATAAGGCTGCTATGGAAAAGACTCTGAAAATTGGGTCTGAACTATTTGCTTATTCATTTTATGACGGAAGTCAGAAAGACGTATTGCCTGTGGACTATACGAGGACTTTAGACTGAGTTGAAAATGTGGTTGCAGCAGGACCAGAAGCTGGTGACCCCCTGGCTCCTTCAGCAAGAAGGAGTAGTCGGTCAGGTAGGGCTCCCCTGCAGCGTGCTGCCGAGAAGGCACAAATGATGTTGGGATATCGGTGCTTAAAAAAGACAAGCTGAAGAGCCTGACAAGAAAAACAATATACCAAGGACAAACAGTGGCTTGAACATGTCTGTGGGAGGGAGGTGGGTACCAGTCAGGTGGGGGAAGGTTAGCATGAGTGATCCAAGTGCAAGAAGTCGCTGCTCTGCCCTCCTAACGAAAGTCGGTGGTGCCATTAGTCACACTCGGGCTCCCCTGCACTCAGCACAGAGCTGTGATGAACAGTTTCTATGGGGCAAGTGAAGAAACCTGGATTCCTACACATTTTTAAGCCTGTACCCCTCAGGGTTACCCACTCAGGTTTTGCATCTACGTTACCTTCATCTCCCCGACCCCTGCATCTCTTGATGAAGTGTAGTGCTGCCCCTTGCCCTTTGCTCCCTCCCACAAAATTTTCAACTGCTTTTAAAGCCCCTATGGGACTGCTGGCTGAGCAAGGGGCAGTGTGCCCTCACTGGCTAGCAAGCACATGCTCATCATCCAGCACGCTGTGGTTCCTCGCCTCCTCAGACTGCCAGACTGTGAGTGCTTCAGCTTCCTTCTGCAGTACAGCAATAGGATGCAACGCTCCTGCCTAAACACCACAGCTCCTTACCTATCCAAGAAACTGTCTAGAAACTTAGCTTTCTCTGAGATGTCTGCCTCGCTGTTAAAATTGCTTGAAATTGGGCAGCTGGTTGAAAAGCCAATGGGAGAGACTAACATCAGGGCAGACAGACAAAGGGCAACTCAGTCCTATGAGACAA